TTATATCTTGGGGATTCAGATCTATAGAGATAGATCTAAGAGAATGCTCGACTTATCCCAATCCAAGTACATAGAAACCATTGTCAAAAGGTTTGGCACTGAAAATTCCACGAGCGCTCTAATACCGATGAGACATGGGATATCATTTTCTAGGAGTATGTCTCCAAAGACTACTGAAAAAAAAGGTGAACATGGATAGGATACCCTATGCCTCAGCAATAGGGTCTATCGTATATGCAATGTTATGTACCAGGCCTAATATAGCGCATGCTCTATGTGTCACGAGCAGGTATCAGACGAATCCAGGCTTGGAGCATTACAAAGCAGTAAAGTGTATCCTTAAGTACTTGAGAAGGACTAAGGATCTTTTACTGGTGTATAAAAGTAGTAGCCTCAAGGTTAAAGGCTACACAGACTTGAGTTTCCAATCTTATATCAATGATAGTAAGTCGAATTTAGGATACATGTACATCTTGAATGGAGGAGTAGTATGCTGGAAGAGTTCCAAGCAAGATACTACTACTGACTCGACTATAAAGGAGGAGTACATTGCTCCAGCAAAGGCAGTAAAAGAGAGAGACAGGATGAAAAAGTTCATTAGAGATTTAGGAGTCGTGCTAGGCAGTGAGGAGTTGATTCCCTTATATTACGACAACTATAGGGCGATTACTCAAATGAGGGAACCCAGGTCTCATCAAAAGTGTTCTGAGGAGGTTCCAAGTTATTAAAGAAATCATAGCCCGAGGAGATATAGCGGTGGAAAGAGTTCCATCCGAAGATAACACAGCACATCCACTGACAAAGCTGTTGACTCTATTGAATCTCAGATTTTGATGATGAAACCAATTGATAAGTGTTTATGATTTGATCTGCGTTTTGAGTCATGCAGGATGCTTCGATCAGGATGAGACAATTAAAGCAGGAAAAATCATGTTAGGCTGGAGGAAAACATGTTAGAAGATTGGACGTTGGGCTAGAGGATCGGTCGACGTATCGACAGAAGGATTCAGACCATAGATTCGGGCATTGGGGTAAGAAGAGCAGATATTGCGCCAAGAATATCGGAGTTGCAGAGTCAATTGGACGATTGGGTAATACGCCGCAAGAGAGGACGATGTACCGAAGAATCAGACGAAGCGTTGAGGGACCAATGACATGCCGGACAACATGATTAATGTTTAGTATTAATTGTCTAGATCGAAGTGTGTTTTACATGTGCATGATTCACTATGATAGCAACGCATAAAGCAAAATGAAGTCCCGGAGTCAAGGATGCAATTTCGTTGGTAGTTTGAGAGTTCGTTGGAAGTCCGAACATTCGTCGGAAGTTCTATCGGAACTAGCCGAGAAGTCTCGGAGCTTGCTAGAGAAGCTCATCGGAACTCACCAAGAAGATCGTCGTGAAGTCTAGGAGCTTGCCGGGTGTAACCTCCCCCATTTTTTTAAAAAAATAGTAAAAGGTTTGTTTGTAAAAATAAGGATTATTTAATAATTATTTTATATTAAATAATATTATATTAAAAGCTTATGGTTAGGGACCGAAGAGTAAATATTAGAAGTTTGATATAATTTATGAAAGATTCAGAATTAAGTTAAAAAAAAAATAGTGGACATGTGTGACTAGCTAACCTAAGTTTGGTACCACTTATCCTTGCTCTAAAGATGACACCTAGCCCTTTCATGCATGCATGACACCTTGCAACTTTTGCATTAGCCAAAACCCAAATAATTAGATAAAAGGTTAAAAAAAAATAAACCTGAAGAGTTGCAGCCAACGTGAGTTTGAGAAGAGAAGGGAAGAAGAAGAAGAAGAAGAAGAAGAGCTTGAGGTTTTTCATCAATTTTCTCACATTTGAGATTCAAATAAATTTAAGGCAAGTGTTCTAACCCCATCCCACAGTAACCTTAATCTCTGTTTCCATTTTTATTCTGCAAAATTTGAAAGATTTCAACTGACAACCAGACTTTCTTTCGTTTTGATATAAAGCTATGAATTTGTAATTTTTCAGTAATCTGACCTCTATGCAATGTTTCATTCATAACATTTTGTAATAAACTCTGATTTAGACAAAACCTATTCCATTTGAAAGTAAACAAAGAAATATTTATTTTGATACTAAGATCGAATGATTTGGAGTTTAAATACCTACTAAAACTTCTATTTAAATTAACCCTACAGATTCTGCAAAATAGGGACTAAAATTTCTGACCTCTGGTTGCTTAACTACTTATAACTTTCTACTGTGAACTCAGATTCATACAAAGTATGATTTATTCGAAGCTAGACTCAAAATTCTTTCTGTATATACCTGATTTGAAATTTTTGGAGTACAATTGCTAACTAAAATATCTACTTTCATCGACCCTATGGATTTAGTAAAACAAAGCTAATATTTTCAGACCTTTCGCTACGAAATTATCTGTAACTCCCTGTTGTACATTCCAATTCTTCTTAAACTTGATTTGCCTAAAACTAGATTGATAAAGCTTTCTAATGACACCTATTTTGTATAAATTAGAGCATAATTGGTTATTGAAATAGTTCATACAATGTTCCTATCAAATTCTGCCATAATCGAGCTTTGGTCGATTTCGGCTTTCCTTGTTTCTTCTCTTTGGAAATCGATTTCGGCAAAAAACTCTTACTTCAGTTAAGCTTTACATTATTACCTTAAATTCCTATATACTTTTGTCTTTTATTTATTTGTACATCTGCAGCTATCATCTAAAGATCATGTTTGCATCATAATGATTCGGCACATGCATCCCATTGTTCCGCATTTGCTTTCGATATGTGCCTCTTCCAATTTCATTTCTTTGGACATTGAATTTATCTAACTTTCTTATTTCAATTGAGCTATATATGATTTCTTGAAATCCTTGTATGCTCTTGCTTTTGTTTACTTTCAAATCTGAATACATTTGTGAAAGATTATGTTTGTATCGTATTGACTCGAAAGGCATATGTACATTTCGTTGTTCCGCATGTGCTTCCAATATATGCTAATTTCATTATTCATACTGTCCCTTTGTACTCCAGTGTTTGTGGGATAAATGTGAACCTTTGCTAGAAATGGTAAAGGGAGTTATGCTTAGAGCCAGCGATGCTCTGCCGGCCCCCTATGACTTCACTCAGACGTGGGTGGATGGAGCTCCCAGACGTGGGAGACTTATGTTTGGTGGTCATTCAGAAATGGATGGACCATATTATATTATGATCCCACTTCATCTTCTATCTATTTGATATGAAATTCAGAGCCGACCTAGTACTTGGGCAGGGTGAGAGGGCTCGAGTAGGAAAGGGCTACCCGTGGATGGAGTCGAGAACTCGTCACGGCGTGGAGCCACCACTGAGTTAAACCTCACATGCACTATGCTATAGTATGACATTTGAGCTTCTATTTCGTATTTATTCTTTGATATGTTCTGAAATGCTTCTTATGCTTCTGAAATATTTCCATATGCCATTGATACGTTCTGAAGCATTTCATTCACCATTGATATGTTCCGAACTGCTTCATATGTCATTGATATCTAAAATGCTACTTACGTCTTTGTTATACCTTGAAATTACCATATGTCATCGGTATGCTCCTTATGCTAATGATATGCTCCAATTACCTTTCCTCGATTGTATGAACAAAACGTGTTTCGAACGATATGACATTGTAATTCTGCATTCAAACAAAACATGCTAC